TATAAACACACGCTATAATTCACAATAATTCGCACACTTTATTTACGGTGCCTACTGTTCGCTTGACTCAATTATCTATATCTATCTATCTATGCAATTTTATCTTTCCCGTTGGCTTTATTTGCCGGGCTTATATACTGTTACGACAGCGGAAATCACGTGACGCTAGTAACACGTCATGAGCTTCTAGAAAATTCATGTCCCTTCGTGAAGCCTCGAGTGTTTACTAGATATACGGTATTATTGTATATTAGGCTGCCAACAAGTTACGGCAACAAGGTAATTGAATTGCAGACAGAGATAGAGACGACAATTGAGTCAAGCGCGTGCATCGTTCGTTGGTTGTGAATTATAACTTTGTTTGAGTTATAGCGTGACTGTGGAAATTAAGTGTATTGCAAAGTTGTATTGAGAAAGAATAAACTAGTTTTATTTAATAAAGGACTTGTATCGCTAAAGTTTCTTCAGAAAGAATTTTTACGGAAAATTAACAAACGAATACAGAGGCGTAACAATATTAATAAAGAGGGCGTCTGGAACAAACTACAGTTGCCAGGAAAATTCATGATCCTTCGAGAAACTCCAGCGCGCATGCTCCCAGCGTTGCGTGACTTACGCTGTCGTAACAATACATATGATATGGTTATAACGCTTTCTCTTAAACTCACGTAAATTTACTGTCTCCACAACATCCGAAGGCAACTCATTTCAAAGGCCCACCACCCTATTAGAAAAATAAAACTGTCTTAATTGAAGATGACTTCTACCCTGCCAAAATTTATATTTGTGTCCCCTAGTCCTACCATTCTCACCACTAAGTATGAAAAAAAGACGACGCATTAACACTATGAATTCCCTTTACAATCTTAAACTCCTCAATTATATCCCCTCTAACTCTTCTTTTACCAAGAGAAAATAACTCGAGTGATCTCAACTTCTTCTCGTATGACAACCCTTCTCTCCCAGGCACCATTCTAGTAACCCTCCTCTGAACCCTTTCCAACAGTTCAATGTCCTTCGTAAGGTAAGGAGCACAAGGTTGAACAAAACACTCCAAATATGGCCTAAATGATGACCTGTACAGTGAAATTATGACCTCTATAAACTTGTATTAAATATTTCTGTAGATTCAACCTAAAATCCTGTTTGTTCTACCACTAGCAACATCATACTGCTTGGATGGCATATGAGACTGATAAACCATTACACCAAAATCCCTTTCTTCCATGACACTGTTAAGGTTATTCCCATCCAAATTATACTTATAATTCAAATTGTGATAACCCACATGCATTATTTTGCATTTGTTATAATTAAAACCCATTTGCCATTTATTTGCTCAATTCTCTAAATAATTTCAACCCTTTTGTAAATCAGCAGCATCCTCTTCACAGCTAGCAACTTCGTGTCCAGACTCGTAACTTCATTTTACATCGATTCAGTAAGAGGTTTATTATTACTCCATAATCGATATCTTCAGCGAATCTTTTCTAATGTGGTGTACTTCTCTGACATAGCTTTAAAGCTAATTCAGTTTCAACTACATATACGACTATATTTCACTCTTTGCTATACGATGCAACATCGTGATTGTTTTACATTTGAGGAAGATAAGTAAACCTTAATCATAAAATTATAATTTATAATCAATTATTTCATTTGCTCTTAAAATGTCTTTATTTATTAATTTTGTGTCCAATAAAAGGTTACTTGGTAAGTTAACTCGTTTTTATTTAAAATTATGATTATTTTTTCTGTTAACGGTCCCTTGTGGACAAATCTATTTTAAACTTGTGTAATTTAAGAATATCATGGAAATTATAACCGTACGTCTTTTTCGACTGGAGGTGAGGTTTATTATTCGCCTTAATTCTAAGTGTATTGTAGCTATAACTTAATTTAATATCATAATATAATTTCAAAGTTTGTTTTGGTTCTTCGTCGACGTCAGTGTGTCTCACTTTTAGTTTTACAAATCTTACCAAGAAAAGACCACCCGTGTTGCGCCTGTGGTTTAGAATTATGTTGTACCAACTCAGTATTTGGCAGAAATGTTTATTTGTGGTGACGGTGGTAATACTAGTGCAGGAAAGTGAGCTTATAATCATTTTAGCATATTTCTCATGTTTCCTAGCATTCCATGACATTTTCACATTGGGATTTCTAGATCATAGGAAAACCCTGATATTCAAAATTGCACATCTTTATTTTTAAAACAATAAATGCATTTCCAAAAATATACACCTAGGTATAACTTATAAGTATAATACTATATTTTATTTTTGATAGTATAACTTATAAGTATAACCTCAATAATTTTAATTGTAAATAAGCTCTAACACTAACAATCTAAGGACAAATTTGAGACAACTAATGCTAAATTTTTGCAGTTTAACCGATCATTATGAAAAACAAAGTGAATCAAAATGCAACCCTTTTGCTGTCATTATAAACAATATACACAAGGGAAGAAGTATTTAAAGCATAGTAAATGTGATTGAGCTGGGTTGAAATTTCCATATCTTATCAAACATCTCTAGGTTTATTTGAACAAACAAATCACAGGTTCATATTGCCATGAGAGAGTCAAGAGTAGAATATCAGTTTGACAAATATGAGTGGTTTAATTGTTAAAACCCCAGTAAATATACTTGAGCTAGTCTGGATTTCATGTATGGTACTATACACTTTATTAATTTTGTTCCTAGTATAATGCTTTAGGGGTCAGTGCTTGGGCTTTTGCTTTGTCTTTTATTTAAAATCATGATATTGGTAAGGGCATAATTTGTAAAATATTTAATTTGCTGTTACTTTAAACTCATGGGCATTTCTAGCTTTATTGAAAATGTTGAGTTATTACAGAATGACTTAGTTCAGTTTGTAAATTGGACATATATTTGGTAAGTTACTTTTAATTGTAATTATTGTAAGTGCAAGGTAATGCATTTGGGTAATCATTATTTGGATCACATATTTAATATAAATAAGAACACAATAGTGTGATTGAAGAAAAGGATTCTTACATAGTGGTGGATAAGCAGTGATGGGTAAAGTACTGAAAATATTTACTTAGTAAAAGTAGGTGTTGTTGATGACCTTAAGTAAAAATAAAAAGTACTGAATATATACAGTACTTAAGTAGCAATAAAGTGAAAGTATTGATAAAAAATAGGTAATGATAGCACTATTAAAATTAGCCTACATTCAACTTAAATTGAAACGTAAAAGCATTACCAAATATAAAGTCAACAAACTTTTTTTTTTTTAATTAAAAGTATTACTGTCTATGGTACAGCTCTTCATGCACCCCACTTATTATATTATATAATATATTATATTTCACTAAACAGATTAGCTTGTCTCAGTGTGAACAAGACCCCTGTAGAACAAAACAAATTCTCACATGCTGCAACTTCACTGAATTTCCCACTATTGTTTTCGGTGAAAATAAGGCTATGGATGATTATTTGTGTCAGACATGATGGTTACAGTGGGACAACGTTATCACAGTCAACACTACATGTAAAATGGCTATGTTTTGTTCCTGCTCAGCAGCACAGGAAATATCACTGCTTGTGATTGTCTTATTTGAAAGAGTAAGTGTGCTCTAACTGATGTAAACAAAAACTATCACCATGGCAACCAGTGTGATTTCCCCCCCCCCCCCAAAAAAAAAAAAAAACAATTTTTTTAAATTTAACGACAGTCTTATAAAAGAAATGTAGTGGAGTAAAAGTAGATAATTTCTTCTTTACTTTACCTAAATAATAGTAAAAAGTTGCTGGAAGTATAGTCTATAAAAAAATGCTATTAGAACTGTAGGATATATATATATATAGACTGATTATAAGTAGAAAAAGTAATTGCCTTTATACAAATAACTATTCAGGCTTTATTTGGAATATTGCACACAATTTTGGTTTCTTATTGAAAAAAGGATATTGGAATGGGTTCAAAGGAGGTTTGCTAAGATGATTCAAGGGAAAGGGTTATCTTGTAGGGATAGATAAGATCTTTTTTTTTTTAAAGAAAGAAAGATAAGAAGTGATCTTATTAAACTTTACAAGATTATTCTGCAAATCATGATGATAAAGATTGATTTCTTTGTGCTCTATTCCGAAGGCAGTATAACAAGAGGACACAGTATTAAGATTTGGGAGACTGGCTCGGTTTCAGGTAAGACAGTTATATTTTTTTTAACAAGATGATTGATTTATAGAATAAAATGGCATAAGCAGTAATAAAGGTCATCACTTTACAAGAGTTGAAGAGGGGAGTAGATGATTTTCTGAAACTAAAGGATTTGTTTTACAATAAAAAGGATAACTATGCTTAAGATAAACAACATTATTTAATTATAACAGAAGGGGACACAGATAATGTTTCAGAATTCTATAGATTCCATCTTCAGTATCAAAATAAAATAATTCCTAAGTAAGTAACTGAAATACATTGCTGCAATAATGATAATTTAATCAAAACTAAAACACATAGAAAGTGAAGGAGTAACAAACACAAATTCTGTACATATTAAAAGATGTGCAATTCATAAGAAGACTGCATTTTATTCAGTGTTGGTGAAAGTTATTTGATGTGGAGAGTTTCTTTAATCAGCAATTCCAGATCACTGTTGGTTTTGCGGAGGATACTGAAATTTGATAAGTTTGTGTCCTGTTTCTTCACTATGTTGATGTATAGAGGAAGCATGGGGGTTCATCAACTTTTTTTGTGTTTCATGAAAATTCCCATATGTTCATTGGCTCTAACTAGTAGATGGCATTTGGTTTTGCCAACATAGGAGGTTTTACAGTCTCCACATGTGTAAAGATATACAAGCCATGAACAAAGAGAAATTGGGAGAAGGTCTTTAGTGCGGAAAAAATCCTGTATGCGAGATGTGGGTTTAAAAATTAATCTGAAATCAACTTGGGGTAGTAACACATTAAAAGCAGCATAAACACACAATTCATCATTACTACTCTATACATCAACATAATGAAGAAACAGGACACAAACTTATCAAATTTCAGTATCCTCTGCAAAGCCAACAGTGATCTGGAATTACTGATTAAAGAAACTCTCCACATCAAATAACTTTCACCAACACTGAATAAAATGCAGTCTTCATTTAAATTACACATTTTCTAATATGTACAGTATTTTTGTTTGTTACTCCTTCACTTTCTATGTGTTTTAGTTTTGATTAAATTATCATTATTGCAGCAATATATTTTAGTTACTTACTTAAGAATGATGTAGTTCTTTTATTTTGCTTTATATACTGAAGATGGAATCTGTAGAATTCCAAAATGCTTATATGTTCCCTTCTGTTGTAAATAAACAATGTTGTTTATCTTAAGTATCTTATCCTTTTTATTGTAAAACTTTGTTTTTCTCCAAACACAGGGATTTGTTTGAATTTTTACTTAAGGGTGGGTGCATATACAAGGACAATCTTTGAGGACCAAATGATCCCTTGTTGTTTGTATGTTATTTTGAGAGTTGTATATTGGAAGATGAATAATTTGAATAAAGAACATGTATGAAAATCATAAATGGAAACAGAAATTAAGAGTAAAGTTAATTCTCAAAAATTATTTAAAAAATGACATAGCCAAGATTTACTATAATTTTTTTGTTTTGATAATTTACTTTTTAAAATAGTGTGCTTTACACTATGAATTTTTGGGAAAAATATCTACCATTCCTCTCTTCTCATTGGCACTGAGCATACTGCACAGTATATGCATTCCATAATTTTTATACACATAAACTGATATTTTTAATTTCATGCTTTCTGGTATTCTACCTAAAAATGAAATGTCCAAGTTTAAACTAAACTGCATGAATGGCAAAGTTGATGATTTTACATGAGAACTAGTTTTTGCCATATAAACTTGTCATATATAGTATCATCTGCTTTTGTGTCATTGTTGTCTTTGTTTCAAATTAAAGTATTTCATTACTTATTGTTTAGAATTTCCTTATGTAATCTGAAAGAATCTTGTGCCAAAAAAAATACATATTTAGAAATTGGGAATAAGTTCTCCCTCCCTAATAAAGTGATAATCTGATGTCCTTTTGTTTGGTTAACTTAAATATGCAGTTATGATATAATCACGCTAAATGGTTTAGATAAAACCTAGTTAACATAAAAAAAAGTTTGACTTTACAGTATAGTAACTTCCATTGACTTAGAAAAAAAAAGGTATAATTACTCACTATTTTTACTACAGTTTTTCTTATTTTTAGAAATTGTTGCAGGTTAAGATATATATATATAAGAAACTTTTCTATGAAAATATTATACTTGATAGTACTATCAATTTTATATTTAAATGTACTTGATACTACTGTTTAACATCTTTAGTGGCTATTTGAATGGAGAAGCTCAGACAACATTGATAATCTTCAGTACAATTATACATTGTTGTAGTTATTATAGTTGAAATTATTTACTATTTACTTAAAAATAAAGTTTAATTTTAGAGTTTGCTTTTATTTTCTCATATAGTCATGACAACCTTACTTTATAATGGACTTTTATGAATATGCTTGTTTAAATATGTATGAAATATATATGTATATGCTGTGTGTGTATATCCATATATGCTGTTTGTGTGTATGTATACGAGTCTGTGCATGCATGCATTCATATAACATGCTGACAGACTCTATACTAAAAATGGATGTCTGCATACGTTTCTTGTAGTGGTCTAAACAAGTACTTGTGTAGGAGTGAATTGTAAGTGCAAGTAGTTCTTAATGTTATATTCACTGTAGAGCAGAACAGGTTTCTGTGCTGATTACAGGCTTGGCTTTCAAGGACACTTCTTCCTGGAGTGTAGTACTGCACATAGAGTATGAGTTCACAAAGACCTTTAATTTATCAGTAACCAATGGATCTTGAGAGATATTTGTGAGGTTACTGTCTTCTTTGATAATTTTAAAAGCAAAAAAAATTACTTCTGCACTACCTACAAGTGGTTATTATAATACACTTACAGTGTTTTAGTTGTGTGAAGTGTTTATTGCTTGTCTATGAGTTTAAACTGTCTTCTCTACAGGTCAGTGTGTTTGCTGAGTTATTTAAACAATTATGACCTGGTTTTGAAGTTTAAGTATCTTTATATGTAGAATGTATTGCAGTATTATATTATAATAAAAATAGAGGTCCTAAAATTAAAATTCAGTGTATAATTTTCTGGTTGCCTCATTCAGGATGGTTGGATTTCTAAATGTAGCACTTTATTTTTTAAGTAAATTCAGAATTGGTAAATATATGCTCTATGACTTATAACACATTTGTAATATACTAAAAACATTTTATTATTATTTTTAAAAGTAAAAACTAATGAATATTAGTTATTAGTGTATATGTATTGTATGTAAAACTAAACAAATATCTGAGATAATGTAATGTATGTAATCTTTCTAATAATGTTAATCAGGTAAGCTTTAGGTAGACTTTTACATTAAACAGATATTTAACTCGTATATATATATATATATATAATAGAAAGACAGACTATATGTATATTTGTATAATTTCCATTATTAATCAGCTAAGCAAAAATTGGTTGCTTAAAATTTTAAAATCTGGTTATTTTATTAGTATTATCTCCAATATATTTGCAAAACACTCCATTTATTTGCATAGGGAAAATAGACTAGTCTTGATACAGTTAAACATTTAACATTTTGTGAGCACACAAAATAGTAATTTCACAACCTTTAAGTGTAACTACCAAAAAAGTAAAATATGTTTATGAAAATGTTTAGGCTATAGAAATAAGTTTAATTTGCAAAGTTTTACAATGAGTGTGCATTGGTACAAACACAAACGTTTCATCGTAACTCATTACTGAGTAGCATGATTGTATCACAGCTAGATGCACATTCACAGATTGCACTAAGTTGCTCATAGCTCTCAGTGGTTGGTGTAATTTACAGTTTTTCTAGGGAAGGAGAAGGGTTAGTAATATTAACAATGAATCATTGAAGCTTGTCGAAATATTTTGATAAAAAAGAAGAGAAGAAAGTGACATGTCAAGCTAAACTACCTCGTAAATGAAGTAACACAGGTGCAATAACTAATCACTTGAAATTAAAACACTAAGGAAAAACTTTTTTTTTAAACATCCATGCCAGTGCAACCAAAATAGCATTGAAAAGATTACAATTTTAATAACTGACATGATAGTTATGGACTTACAACAACTAAATGTATTAGAAACCAAAAATTTTAAAGCCTTGATATCATAGTTGGATCCTCATTATGTCATTCCAAATCATAAAATAATATCTTCTCTTATTGAACTTAAATATGACTTAAAGAAAATTGAACTAACAACCACATAACAGTAGTATAAAATGTTCTGCTGGCAACAGGCAAATGCAAGGTGTCTATGAATGCAAAGTTGATTACCAAGTAACAGTTTATTTCCTAAAGGATTGGGAAATGAAAATGCTTTTCTGGCCACAAAATATGAAGAACAGAAGCACACTGTTGAGAATTTTTAAAATTCTTCATAACCAGTTATTGAAGATTTCAACATTGATGATATGATCTGTGGATGTGTACTCAATAATGCTGCTAATATCATGTTTGTAAAACAACAGTGCAAATCAGTAAAACAAAACTTAAACTACCTAAGACATGCATTTCAGTTATTCATGAATGCTGGATTCAAAAAGTTTCCTCTGGTCTATAGATTAAGGTAATCAGTGGAGAAAGTCAAATAGAAAGGCATTTTAAGCATAGCTTTATTGCAGTAAATGCATTACAAAAAAATAACAAGAGCAAATTAATTTGCCACATAAATTTAATTAACATTTTCTAAGCATACTGGAATAGCACAGGAGAAATCTTTGAATGATTGACTGATCAACATTGGACAATCATAGTGACACTAGGAGATTGTACTGCAACTAAAATATTGGATGCAAAACCTTTAAGATGTCTTATGAGTACTGACTGTGTATGGAATGGTTATGCAAGTGCCCGAAACCTCTTCCAGTGGAAACACTTTTAGTATTGCTGGAAAACAGTGTCTGTTTCATCAGTTGCATCTATTCTAATGTCCTTAATATTCCAATATTTGGTACAAAAAGAAACTTTCTTCACAGCAGTGAAATGCTACAAAAAATATGCAAGAGATAACATAATATATTGC